GTCACCCAGGCAGCTGCGTACCCTTAAGCTAACTGCAGGGGGACTCTGTTTACCCAAAGTGTTTGTCGACTGAAGCTGTTGCTGACATTTCCTTCCTTCCCCCCTCCCCTCCTTCCTTTGGCGCTGCACTTTGCTTTCTGATTCTAAACAGTCCTGGCAGCGACTTTCACATGCAGATCCTTTGAGTGCTGCAGAGCTAGGTTTCAAGCCCTTAATAAAGAACAATCGTGATGGTATTATGTAAAACAACAACAATGGATCCGAGCACGCCTGCCTTGTCTTTCAGCCCAGGCACAGAAGAGTTAAACGCTCCATCCTACCTTCTCTGCAATGAACGGCTACAAGAGCTTATCCCAGCTTATCTCTTGTTTGACTGAAGCTAAGCAGAATCTCTGCATGCCTCCCCCACCCCAAATCTAATCCAGCCTCGCTTGGATGATCTGTGAATGTAATGTGACAAATTCCTTGTGGGGGAGCTTGTGGCCCAGAGCAGTGACAACGCGGCCCTCCTGCAATACCTTTCCTGTCCGTCTCTGTCGCGTGGACCAACAGAATGTCCCCCGATCCCCCGCGTACGTCTGGCCCGTCGTCACCCTGCAAATGGAAAAACACAAAGTAGGTGGATCACTTCCTTGTGGGGCACCTTGACCCCCCAAGCTGCACCGACTCCATGCTCTGCACTAGCCTTCCTTGCGTTGCAGGCGATCACAGCACAAACTGAGACTTGTGGTGGGGAAAAGCCCAGGCTTGTCAAGTGCTGGAGACGGCCTTCGGCAAAATCTGGGTTTTGTTGCACCAGACTAAAGAGGGCCTTGGTCTCTGAACTCTTGGGAGACCGAAGAGCTCTTTCGAGGACTGCTCTTGAGAGAACAGCTCCGAGAGAACTGTGACTGACCCAAGGTCACACCAGCAGCTGCATGCGGAAGAGTGGGGAATCAAACCCGGTTCTCCCAGATTACAGTCCGCGCTCCTAACCACGACACCAAACTACACCAAATACATAGCATTTCCCGCTTGTGCTCTCTAAACGTGGCTACAATCACAGCAGCAAGAGGTTATTCAAAAGCCCAGAGAGTCTTGAGACAGACAAAGGGGTCCCGTACATACCAAGGTTTTAATCAAGGCGTAGCTAAAAACGTTTGTAATAGTTTCATTTCATTTCATTTCACATTGAAAAACTGCAAGAGATTAAGATGTTCCACACTTAACATTCTCTCTCTCAAAGTTTGCATTCTCCTGTAACAGAAAACCTGTACATCGTGTCACCAACAAATGGGTCGTTTTATTGTTCCAGCCGCGAAATCATCTGGAAAAGAGACCCAACCTCAAAACTGGCTATCCCTGACCTTGCCAAACATTAGCATTCCACTTTATGACATCAGTGCAGGTAAGCCAATGAAAAACCTGCATGTCCAGGGACGCCATGACGTCAGAGCGAATCAGCCATTGAGAGAAAGAGGGGGAGAAACACATCAATATCTTCAGGATTACTTAACACAGAAGATGAGGAGGCGACGGCACCGGATGCTGGTAGCACAGTAACACAAAGGGGCTGTCGGGCTCACAGGCCTTGGAGAAAATTATGTTCACACTGCAATACTTCAGGCATTCCTCTGGCAAGGCTCCTGGAATTCCACTTAAGCCGTGAGTAATAGCTTGTCACACCGGCTGGCGGATCTTGGCTGCCCGGAGCAGCTCTCTCCTGCAGCAAGTGCCGGCGGATGACAGATTGCTGCTGGTTTCCAGACGGGCCCCTTTGATAGCCGGAGAGCTTCAGAGGCCCGGAGTATTCCCCGCAGCCCGGAGATAACAGAGCGAGCAGGGCTGCCTGGCAGAAGGGCCTGGGCTCGAGCCAGGGCAGCCTTCCCTTCGGGCACCGGCAGAGCTACCTGGCTCAGGAAGCTCATCCGTCCTTCCAAAGCCATTTAGGGACAGACATCAAGATTGCAGCGTCCCCCCCCTTCCCCCCCCCTGCAATCCCCATGCTCTGCAAGAACCAGAACCCGGTCGCGATGGAGACTTCACTTTTAAGAAAGACAGTCTCCGGAGAGGAAAAGGAGGCCCCCAACCAATGTTCCTGCTAAACTGTGGAGTCTTTTGAGCAAAAATCCTACTTTGTGAGCTACTGCCATTAAAGTTGTGAGCGAGAGATTTAGCTACTGCAGAAATCAGTTTGCTCTGGAGCCATCCTCCCTGAGCCAAGACAA